TTTCTGGGGATCAAACTCCGGACCTTGCCAGGCTGGTGGAGAGGCTGGTGGTGGAACCACTGAACTAAATCCCCGGCCCTGCACCACAGGTTTTAAAGACAGGAGTGTTGTGTTTCATGTCTCTGTTTCTCCTCCAACAAATATTCACTGTGTACAGACACTTTTTGACTTTTGATGGGGCTATGTCTGTCTCAAGTTGAAATTCTAGTTGGAAATATCAAGTTGAAAATGCATTTAATATATTGGAGATGCTGAGCTCCTAGCTCCCTGGCACAGGGCAGTGCCTCTCTCCTGGTCCAGGGCCGATTGGGAGCTGCAGCTCGCTGCCACCGCAGGGTGGGCGGCAGGAGGAGCGGGCCCCGTGACTGGTGGAAGCTGGGTGAAAGGTCAGAACTTGGAGGATGCTCTCGTGAATGCGTATTGCTTTTGTGCCACCAGGGTAAAAACTGCAACTGGCACCATCGTTAGTCGGGGGCTGTCTCTGCTTAACAGGAGCCAATTAAGCAAGTCCCTTTCCTGCAGCCTTGATTCCCAGCTGGATGGAACTACACTGAACAATGCAGTAATGCAAGAGACGTGAGGGCGGCACTGAGTCTGGCTTTTAAGAGAAGCCTCAATTTGTGTTTGCTTTCGGAAGCCCGCACACGTGAGAACCCCACGGTCTGCAGAGAGGCTGCAGGGGCTGGGACTGCACAGCCCAGGCCGTTGTCTGCCGAACCCAGCTCTGCCAGTGACTGTGGCAGGCGACCCACCAAGCAGCCAAGAAGCCTTGCTGCGCCCTTTCTGAATCAGGAGCAACACAGCGTGGTTGTTTATAAACAAGCATATTTTGGGAATAGTTTGTTGTCAGCTCCAACCCGATGACTTTCAGTTTCAGAGAAGACCAGTAAATAAACAAGCTGTGGCAATAACTATGATAAATGCTGGACTCTGTTTTTCAAAGGCTGTCATCTGACAAACACTGCCAATTCATCCGGCCAGCTGGCTTCTGATTAGGTTCTGTCAATTCAAGACATTGATGGGAGGCTGGAAGGTCGGGGGAAAAAGGGCTACTTTTCTGGTGATAGTGACTGCCTCCAGGTCCCGGCATCTTTGGCATTCCCAAAGTGGTAGCAGGAGCTGCCCATGAGTGTGGGTAGTTCCAGGAGCCCAGGAAGTGTGTGTCAGTGGCTGGCACCTTCCACAGGTGAAAAACAGACCTTTACAGAAGGGAGTGTGAGACTGGTTATCTTCCCCGGGGCACAGACACAGTAATGGCCTCATTGCCTGTGGAAATCGACAGTCTGGTAGATGAAGCAGCTGAATATTCATTAAAATCATAACCTGGCCTTGCTCGGAATATAGTTCAGGTTGTGGACAGTAAAGTTCGGGACCAAAAGGCTGCTCCCATGAACAGTTATGACAGTAGCTGGCTCTTGTGATTGTGAGTGGTGTGAAGAGGAAAAAAAAATGAATTGCTAAGGCTTTCAACTCTCAGCTCGTAATTCCGTCAGCAGGTTAAATATCTTGTGTGATGGCCACACCCATTTTTCAGTGTATCTGTGAGCAGTAAGAGATGCAGCTGAAAGCCCAGCCCTTAATTTGCTTCTGTAAGTCAGATCCACTGCCTGTTGGTATCACTTAGGTGGAATTCAGGACAAAAGTTAAGAAACACCGGACCTCCAGCAAAATGGGATGGGAATATTTGAGAAGGCTCAGTTAATCTGAGAACTATGAAGCTTCACATTTCCCTGAGCCAACAGGAGCAGCCTCTTTCTCTGAGGTAGATAGTTTTCCCTTGCTGGAAGACTTAATCAGTGATTTTCAGACTTTCATGTGCATGAGAATCTTGTTAAAGTGGATATTTTCACCCAGTGTCTTAGTTACTTTGCTCATTGCTGAGACAGGATACCAACACCCAAAGTTCAAGGAGGAAAGGCTTATTTGGCTCACGGTTAGGAAACCCAGAAGTATTACTGTTGCTATTTATCCCTGTACTCTTCCAATGCTTTGTGTGATTCCTGGGACCTCAGGAGCTACCCGGAGTTTGGGCCTGAGTCTATCTCCGAGTGGGCCCAGCTGATCTGCTGTGTTCAAACCGACGTCTCTGATCACAGACACTGCCTTCTGGCTCCCTCAGTCCTGGAGCGAGGATTTCAGTAGTGAGGAAATAAATGGCAGCCCTGCAACAGTCTCTTCTTTTGTAAACCAAACATGCTGCTGTATCCCAGGGGAATTAGAGGGATTAGGGCCACCAAGCAACACTGGAACACGTGGAGGGTTTCTTGTCAAAGAGATAATCAGACTTAAATTCCTGACTTGTACAAATGCCACTGGAACTCCTGCACACTTCCACACCCTTTTACCTGATAGAGGCCTCCGCCAAAATGTTTTCCCAAGGACGTGCCCTGATACGGGGAACACTAATGTCCCCAAAATGAAATTCGGGAATGCTGAGAGCAACACAACAGCTGACAGTCATACAGTACCAACACTTCCATCAGTTGGTCTGAAGGCAAGAAAGCAGATATTTGGAACAAGAAATTAGTAGAGGGGATTGGTTACAACCATTTGGAAGGGCTAGAAAAGGCAGAGGGGGTACCAATCAGGTTATTTGGATATGAGTAACTGTCATGCCAGTCCTCAGAGCAAAAAGGACGGAAAGGAAGTAGTGGTGTGACTTCAAGGCAGGAGGTGTCCTTGCACAGACACCGCTGGCTCCTGGCATCGCCATGGCCCACTTCTGTTCCGCTGGGATTTCTGCAGCCACCGGATGGCACCGCAGCCCACATTGCCTATGAGGGGCTCCTGGATGACTGTAGCCCCGCTGGGATCACTAAGACCACTGTGGTGGCCATCCTGGGTTAGTCACTGTGGCCAGAGACACTCCCGGAAGTGTGAAAAAGGCTGTTTCCTAAGTGACATCCTCCAATCTTCCCACAGAATGCTCTTAGGCAGATGTGAACCAGGAAAGGGAGAGAGGGAAGTGTAGCTCACAGAGATCCAGGGGCCTCAAAGAGAGGAAAAATATGCAAGATATAAAAGAAACTAAGAGCAAATAGTAAAATGACCACACAAGGCGGCCCTTTGGCTAGTGGTGTCCACCTCAGCCTTACCTCTGTATTTCACCTCAGAACAACGGCACAAAGCTCAGATTGCCCGATGGCCTTATCTGAAATGAGGGGAGAACGCTCACACACTCCCCGAAAGGTGGGGTGTGAAGTTCCAATTACATCTGTCACTGCAGCCCTGCTGAGGCTCTGTAGGTAACTGGCTCAAACCAGGGGTAGACAATTGTGTCTGGAATGGTAAATGGAGAGAAGACAGGAAGTCAAAGATATTTGCAAAAGACACTTTGCAGACCTGCGTCTTGAAAAGATCTGTTGTATGCCCCATAGTGGATGGTGTTTGAAGCAATCACTTGCAAAAGACTACAATGCAGCCTCTCTCCCCAGGACAGCTGCTGTAGAGCCAGAGATCAAGAAGGTCAGCTCCGCCCAATGGCAGGCACAGGCTGGGCTCAAACAACAGAGCGTCCGGAGGCAAGGCCGCCTGTGCTGGGCACGCAGTGGCCACCAGGCCTGTGGGCTCTTGTCCTGCCGGGGGCGTGAAGGAGTCTACACGAAAAACAGCAGGTTAATCCCATTCCAAAAATGGCTCTGAAGCCAATGAGATGTAAGGCTTCCCACCTCCCACATCTTGACTTTGCTCACCTAACCACTGGCGTGATTGTGCTCAGAGGCTGACCCCATGCCTGTTTCCCCTGGATTTGGTCCGCTGGAAGCCCACCCTGGTGCACAGCTCTGGTTTTCCTCGTGCCTGATGTCCCTGTCCAGGCCTCTGAAGGCTGAGTTTGAGCCCTGTCCAGAGGCTGCTGGCTTCCTCACACCCGGCTCCTGTGGGCAAAAACAAGAGCAATGCAAGCACTGCATCAGCTGGAAGCCGCGAGTTTCTTTGTCTAAATTTGACCATTAAATAATAATTGTATATGGATTAGATAATTATAACAATTGTAAATAACTATAAATGAATTGAATGGTGCACAATATTTCCTTTAATTTTAGGAAATGTTTACTCAGCCTGTGACAACCAGAACAGGACTGTGTCCCTCAGGGGCTGGGGTCTCCTAAAAGTCCTTCTTGCTTAATGAGGACAGAGATTATGTCGGAAGTTTTTCCTGAATTCAAAAGTTTCTAGATTCCCACACCGGGAGTCGAACCCGGGCCGCCTGGGTGAAAACCAGGAATCCTAACCGCTAGACCATGTGGGAACCGACAGCTACAACGGGCCGATAGAGCCAATTGAAGCAGTCAGTTTCGCTTCTGCCTTTCGCATTCAGCCCCGCCCCCAGCGCCAGACCCTCTCTGCGCCTGCGCAGGGCTCAGGCGCGCGCCGGAGTGCAGGTCTCCGGCTGCG